GGACTGGGGAGGATGGATGGGAAGGGAGGGATAAGGGGGGGAGAAAGAAAGGGGGCATAATGATTAGCATGTATAATGTGTGGGGGGCACGGGGAGGGCTGTACAACACAAAGAAGACAGTGATTCTACAGCATCTTATTACTCTGATGGACAGTGACTGTAATGGGGTATGTGGGGGGGACTTGGTGATGGGAGGAGTCTAGTAAACATAATATTCCTCATGTAATTGTAGATTAATGATACCAAAATAAATCAGTCAACGTGATCCTTCATTTTAGCAGAATGATCATTTGCTTGGATGAGTAAAAAGCATCCAAATTCAAACATCCATTCATATACCACTTGTGACAAACTAGGAATAAAGGGGAGTTTTCTCAATATGATAAGAAAAAACAGCATCTGTGAAAATCCTATGGCTAACAATGATGAAACATGGAATGTTTTATCCCTAAGATTGGGGACCAGACAACGATTGTCTGCATTTACCGTGCTCTTAAACACTGTACCAACAGGTCCTAGCTAATACAATAATAAAGAAAGAAAGGATGGAAAAGAAGACATGAAAGTGTCTTTACTCATAGACCTAACTGTGTAGAAAATCCTAAGGAATCTAAAAAAGCTCTAAGAACTGTCAAGTAAGTCTCACAAGTTTGTACGACACAATGTCAACATGACATAAGTCAATTTTATGTCTATGCAGAAGTAACAAACAATTAGAAAGGGAAATTGTTAAAAAATACTACCTGCAATAGCAAAAAAACAAAAAAAGAAGGAAGGAAGGAAGGAAGGAAGGAAGGAGGGAAGGAAGGAAGGAAGGAAGGAAGGAAGGAAGGAAGGAAGGAAGGAAGGAAGGAAGGAAGGAAGGAAGGAAAGAAGGAAGGAAGGAAGGAAGACTGGCCCAAATTTCCCATATTTGGAAAAAAGGTATAAATCTACAGATTCAAGAATCTGAAAGACCACCAAAGAGGTTGAACCCGAAGAGTTGCATACTAAGACACATAATAGTCAAACTTGAAAACTAAAGACAGTGAAAAAAATCTTGAAAGCATCAACACAGAAAAGACACCTTACCTATTGGGGGAAAATAATCCAAACAACAACTGATTTCTCATCAGAAGCCAGAAAGGAGTACCAGAAGGAAGCAGCCCAACATTTTTCAAATCCTGAGAGACATAACCGTCCAACCCAGAATTCTCTATCCAGAAAAAATATTTACCTGTGAAAGGGAAGATATTCTCAGATGAAGGAGAACTAAGGGGATCTACCATGAGCAGGACTACCCTGAAAGATGGCCAAGGGAGGTTCTCCAAGCAGAAAAGAAATGATGAAGGAACGTGGAAACATCCAAAGGAAGAAGGACAATGGTAAGCATCAAAATATGGGTAAATGCGACACATTTGCCTTTTCTTGAATTGTATGAATTATGTTTGATGGTTGAAGCAAAAATCATAACACTGTCTAGCGTGGTTCTTGGTGTATGCAGAGGAAACACTGCAAACAATTATAAGTGGGGAAGGCTAAGTGATGTAAAAGGAAAGAATGCTTCTACACGCCATTCAAACTAGTAAATGTCACCACCAGGAGACAGTGATGGCTATGCGTATATCAGCAGATGGCAGCACATAGTAGATACTGTGATAAGTTATGGGTATATAATGTAACACCTGGAGCAACCACTTAAAAAAAGCTATACAAAGACATATACTCCAAAACAGTACAGATAATCAAGATGGAACTCTAAAAAAATGTTCAAGTCACCTACAGGAGGACAGGAGCAAAGAAATAGCAAAAACAAACTGAAAACCAAAAATAAAAGGTCAGCCTAATATCTCAATAATTACATTAAGTGTGAAATTCTAAATGCACCCATTTAAAAAAAAATAGAGAATGGCAGAGTGGATAAAAAATAAGACGCAGTTCTTTTTTGTCCACGAAAATCTCACTTCAGAGATGATGATGACAGGAACAGAGCACCCGGCAAGAGAGGTTGGCTGGTACCCACACAGCTCGAAGGGATCTAAGGCAGGATGAGGCACAGTGCTGAGGGACAGGCACCGGCCTCAAAAGATTGCACAGCATATGGTTCCATTTTCGTGACATTCTCAAATGAAGAGTTACAGAGATGAAGAGGGCATTAGTGGTAACTGGTGCTGGGACCATGAGACATTTCCATAGCATTTTTGCAACTTCCTGTAAATCTAAACTATTTCAAAATAAAAGGGTTTAGACACCCACACAGTGCAAGCTCAAAGCAGAACCTTTCAGCCCTGGAGCTCACAGCGTGCACGAGGTCCCCCACCTCTGGCCCTCCTGCCAGGCCCCCCGTATAGCGGGGTCATACTGTGGGTTGCCCCAATCTCCAGGAGTCCTCGCTCTGTTCTCTGCTTTTCCCCTGGGGAGAAAGCATCAATAGCTCTTTTAAACCTGCTACTGCCTCTCTTGTGTTGTCTTCATGGTTTGAAAGCTTTTACTTCTTTACTGCTATTCAATGGGGTTTCAGGAGAGAAAGGATAAACATGTTCTTTACACCTTGTTTAATCAGAAATATGCACGTTTTTACATTTCTACTTTGTGCTGGGGTGAAATGGTAGAGAAGACTAGGTACAGATGAGACCAACAAAAGTCTGAAACAAGAGGAAACCCAAGCCTCCATAGAGCAGGGGGAAGACCTCTGGACCCGGGGAAAGACCTCTGGACCCAGGGAAAGACCTCTGCACCCGGGTAAAGACCTCTGAACCCCGGGAAAGACCTCTGGACCTGGAGAAAGACTTCTGGACATGGGGAAAGACCTCTTGACCAGGGGAAAGACCTCTGGACCTGGGAAAAGACCTCTGGACCTCAGGAAAGACCTCTGAACCTGGGGAAAGACCTCTGGACCCAGGGAGAGACCTCTGGACCTGGGGAGAGACCCCTGGATCCAGGGAGAGACCTCTGGACCTGGGGAAAGACCTCTGGACCCAGGGAAAGACCTCTGGACCCAGGGAGAGACTCCTGGACCCGGGGAGAGACCCCTGGACACAGGGAAAGAGGGCTGCTCCTCTGCCACTTACTGCTCGTGTGACCTTGGATTCTCCTGACTGCGTGGCCTCCCCGAGGCACAGCCCGCTGCAGGGGAGGAGGTCACAGGGTGAGGGCCCAAGAGTTTGTGTGTTGGCCCAACACAGCCCCCATGTCCTCCTTAGTCTCTTCCAGTTGGACTATAACAAGCTGGCCCTCTGCTGAGACTATATCTCACATGTACATGGCATTCCCAAGCCTGGCACAGACTGATGACCCAGAAATTAAGCAATGAGAGCTTGCTCCTGAAGTCCAGGCCTAGAGGGGCACAAATGGGATGCCACCATTGGCTCCAGAGGGGTCGAAGAGGGCCCTGGGGAGCGTGCTGTCTAGTTCACTCCCAGCCTGCAACCTGAAGGGGACAACCACCTTCATACTGAAGAAAACTCCAGACATCCACTTCAGTCCTGAGTTTTAGGGATGAGGACTGGCGGTCCAGGGGGGGGATTGGTGGGCCCAAGGTCCCAAGATAGACCGGGAAGAAAGCACGGACAGGGGTGGCAGTGGTGGGAGGGAACGGCAGGTCACGCCGAATGGAGACCCTCCTCCCGGGCTCAGGGCTGATTAGGTATGGGTGGGGGAGGGAGGCGGAGGGCCCCGGTTTGGCAGAGGGAGGGCAAAGGACCCTAACACCCCACTGAAATAGGAAGGCATATGAGCAGGTCTGTTCAGGAAGCTCCCTCTGTGGTGGGTGGGACCCTCACCAGCCCTCCTCTCCTGGCCTTTCCCGGGAAGGGAGGGAAGCTTCCCCTGGCCCCTCGGGAGGGACACGTCCTCATCCCATCACCGGAGTGGCCTGTTTGGTCGGTGACACTGGAGAAAGAGCCCCCCTAGCGGGTGGGTGACCTGCCTCCTGGGAAGGGTCTGCTCCCCTGGCTGGCCTCTGCACGTGGGCTTCCGGAGTGCCCTCCTCGTGCTGCCTGACTCAGGGTCCCTGAGCCTGATGGTACAAGCCAAAAGGCCCCCGTGTGACTGCACCGCACCCAGCTTCCCTTTCCTCCAGGCCCCACTGCACCTCACCATCCACCCCACAACCACCCCGTGTCCCGGTGCCCCAGGACCTCCAGGAAATCGCCATACCTTTTTCAGCTATAAATCCTGCCCTCGCACATGCACTCCTCCCAAGGTTTTGGAACGTGACTTAGGTCACTGCCTTAAGTCATAAGACGTGGCTAGGCAGGAGACTGTGACACCCCATTCACTGTGAACGACGTGGCGACCTGCTCACAGAAAAACATCTCTAGGTGTTCCCAGGACTTCTTCAGCTTCTCAGGCTTTATGTCCCCAGTCCTACATACTGTGACACACACTCAGAGTCACATCTGAGTGAACAAGCCATTCCCTCTGCTGTATCAGAGGTTCTGGGCCATCAGCCTGGGCATGTGGGCAGCCTTCACTAACTCAAGGTCTGCCCCTGGGGCTGCCAGCAGGGAAACAAGGTCTCACAGCGGAGAGTAGCCAGGCTGGGAGTGAACCCTGTGTCCTCAGGGCCTGTTCAGTGACAACACCCTGGATGAATCACAGGGCCCAGAACCCAGCATGGCTGGGACCATTCAGGACCATTCCTGGCTGAGTCCCTACCATAATCCTCCCCTGTGTCCCCAACAGGCTTCTCCCCACTGATCACTCTACAGATGTGAGCTGGGTGGGACTATTTGTCCAGCACAGGAAGTAACAAAGAAACCCTGCCTTGGTCAGAGCTCAGGACTAGCAGGAGAGAAAACCACAAGCCACACAGCCTCAGTGCAACCACCCAGGGGCCTGGAGGAGGCCCATGGAGTCCAGGGCAGTGGGAAGCCACGCTGGGCTGTGGTCAGGGAGGGCTCCACAGCAGAAGCATGTGCTGGGGGAGAAAATGGGGTAGAAGGAAGACTGTGCAGCCTGTGTGCAGCACAGCACAGACTAGGGTGCAGCTGGGGGGACGCCACCCCAGTCACTGCCCCGTGCACCCTCTGGGAGCACCACAACACCAGCTCCAGCACCAGGCTCCAAGGTTCGGGACAGGGAGGCATCCAGGTTTCCTCCAGCTGCCCTCAGGTTCATCTGATTCGTGGGCAGACCCCGGAAAGCCAGCGGCCCAGGAGGGCAGCGTCCAGCGGCTTGAAGGCCAAGCGACGGCTGCTGCCCATGGAGTCTTGGGTCTCCTTGCGAGGGGTCTGGGCTGTGGGCTTTCCCTGAGGCCCCTTCCAGTCCCTGGACCCTATGATGCTCTATTCCAGAGGGAAATAAGCTACTGTAGAGGGGTGCAGTGCGGTGCCCACGCCACGGACTCAGGTCCGAGCACCACCGCAGAGCTGCATCTGCATCAGCCTGGATGTGTGACCTAAACTCTGCAAAGCAGGATGGCTGAGGCCCCTCCCCACAGCCAGCTGGGGGAGACGGGAACTCTCCGAGCATCCCAGGCCTCCACAGACATGGGCTGTGCCCCAGGGCCCAGCCTCACTCTGATCAGCGACTCCACAGGGCAGCAGGGAAAAGGGCAGAAGACACAAAGCAGGCACTCACCCGGCATCAGACAGTTTGGGGCTTTCCACAAAGTACACGCACTCTTTCTTCATGATGTTTTCAGGAATCCACGAACTAAGATGTTCTTGCTGTGGGAAAAGGGCACTTTGAGGCCTCGGGCATCCCGAGCTACACTCTGCGGAGGACCAGGGCCTGAGGCTCTTTTGGACATCTACACTTGGGACAAGCCTCATGGGTCTTTTCTCGGAGAAGTGGGACCTGAGCCCTCCCCCACCACAACACCTCCACGCAGAGGGTCCTGGGTGTGGACTCAGGAGGGAGGGAGCCTGTGGAATCACTTCTTCTTGGCCCAACTGGAATTTCACAGCTCTTTACAGTTCATATGTCAACACGGCCTTTCTTAGGGCCAAGAGGTGCAGTGGCAAGGTGACAGGTAGGGGTGTGGTCACCTGCCTCCATCCGGGCTGAGTGCGGGCCGCACTCCCCTCCTTCCCAGCTGACCAGGGAAGTGAAGCCAGTGCGTGTGAAGCTGAGGGGCCTGCTTCCTGTGCGTGTGGCCCAGTACTGCAGCGTTCACTCAGCACTCTCCCAGTCGGAGGAGAACAGGGACCGTGCAACCCACAGGAGGGGCGGCCCCGCCACTCTTCACTGGCTCCCCGCTCCTCTGAGGGGGCCTTTCTGGGCTGGGGCCCAGCTCAGTGGCATCTCTGCCCAGATAGACAACATGCCTCTCCCTGGGGGACCCCTGTGCCCACAGGGCTCTGGCAAACCAGCCAAGTGGGGCCCCCCTGACGGCCAAAAGCCTACCTTTCCACAGTTGCCATATAGATACTGTGACTTCCCCATCCTGCTGTTGCTTCGTCGGAGATTGGAGACCATGTCCAGGTCCACGACCCTCCTGGGCTGTACCCCGAGGCCCTCCTCCAGCTCGGAGCCATCTTTTCTCGGGGGTGAGGGCTCCATAGTGAGGGCTGCCTCCTCTCCGGCTCCCACCGGCTCCTGCCGGCTCCTGCCTCCCTCAGAACAGCGTTTCCTCCAGCCTGCGAGGCTGTGTGTCCGGAAGGCACCTCAAGGGCTGCTGAGATAGAGCAGAGGGGAAATGAGGTGGTGGCCCGCAGGACCCATCTGCCTACCAGTCTGCACACCTTCCTACCTGCCTGAGCCTTGCCCCAGCTGTGGTCCCAGGCAGGCTGGAGCCCCTGCACCCGAGGGCGGTTGCCCATCCATGATGTAGCAGCCTGAGAAGGAGCCCAGTCTAGCCCACCATGGCCTAAGGGCGCCTGACAGTACAGGAGCCCCGAGACCAGGGGGCAGGCCTGGTCAGTGCGCAGGTGCACACACGGCGCTGCAGTCATGTTTCCGAGCATCAGCTCACTGCTTTCATTGTCCAAGAAGGAAAAAAGCCTCCACTACTGTAAAGGAGGCTTCAGGGGCAGCATAGCGCTCCCCCTGAGACAAGTCTGACATATAGAACAAGTCCCATGTTCCTAAGCCCAGTGCTCCTGGCCGGGACAGGTCTCCGTCACAGAAGACTGCCCTCAGTTCACAAATGCAAAAACAAACATGTGCACCCCACAAGGTCACCCACAGTGTCACCCTGGTGTCATCCATGGAGGCACATGCCCCCCATCGGGTGCTCCAAGGCATAGCAGGGGGCCTCTTGGAGCAAAAGAACAGGTCACAGGGCATCACTTCTCTCCTGCCCAGAAGCCCTTTCTGCCCACATCACCTTCCACCACCGTGAGGGTCACTCACAGCTGGCCTTTCTCTGCCCACCTATCTGGCTTCAGCCTGAGGTCACTGCCCTCTGTGGAGCTACCGGGATTGGTCGGGGAGTGAGACACTGCCAGCTCTTAACTGGGCCACCTGGCCAGCCCTCTTCAGAGCCACTTAGCTCAGTGCTGGGCACTCAGGGTTGAGCCACCTGGCTGCTGACCTTGGGCAGACACCCTCAGCTACACCCAGAGCTCAGGCCACCCCTTCCCTGGCAGCTCCCTCCCTGCTTGCCCCTTGACCAGGCTCACTCCCAGCCCCCAAGCCCACTGGGAGGAAGGGTATAAGCCCTTGTGTGAGGGCACCACGGTAACACAGAACCCGGGCGCAGCTGTGATAGCCCCTCTGCGGGGGGGATGGTTGGATCCGGGTGACCAGCACAGGCTGGGAGAGGCTGGGGGTGCAGCTAGGAGCCTCCATCGTGGTGGACACACACCTGGCAATGGCCCAGAAGCAGCAGAGGGGGCCTGGGGGAGCCTCCTTCCCAGAGAATGCCTGAGGGGTCATGAGCTGGATGCAGGGGCTGGTGAGGCTTGGACAAAGGAGAGACCACCCGCTGCCCAGGGGCTGGGAGCTTGGCCGAGTGGCACTCACACCTAGTGCTGTGGAGGGCAGGACTTGGAGCGGTGGGATTGAATACTTGGGCACAGCCATTCCTAAGCAAGCTGCCCATGCAGCTTGGCTTCTCCTAAATGCTTACAGTGAAATCGAAATGGGGAGTGGCTGAGAGGTGGAGTTTCTAGTCAAAAAGGAAGCGGAACTTACAAATTTGGGAAATCCCCAGCCCATCCACACTGAAAGGAATGAAAAGGCTTTCCTCAGGAGAGCAGACAAAGCGTGTGGCACATTTCACACAGATGTCAGACTGATGGCCACCCCAGGAAGCTGGTGCTTTCATCTGGACGGTAGGGACACAGTCAGCCCCATCCACAGCAGCAGTAATGACCCGAGGCATTTCAGAGGTCATGGGGCTGCCACCATCACAGGCCCCAAGTGTGAGGGCCTAGGGGCAGAACGATTTCAAAGGAATTGTGGGGCACTGAAGGCTGGAACCCAGGCCATGGGTCCGCAGCCTCTCACCCCTCCCGTTATGGGCTCAGCTCCTCGAACTCTAGCACTGAGCCGCGTAGTGGCCCCAAGCATGGCCCAGCAAGGCCTGGCATGGTGACACCTATGGGATGCTGTCTCTGCCCGCATGAAGAGTGTTCACGTCTGGGGGTCACGGTGCCTCTCCCCGGATGTGAAGGATGGGACCACCTAGCACCTTGGGCACCAGACCTAGCAGAGCCACCACCAGGGCAGTGCCAATGGAGCCGTAGCAGGGGCAACCCCAGACCCAGGGAGCCACGGGATGTGCTTCCAGCCCAGGAGAGCTGCGGATGCAGATGGGGCCGCCCCCAGCAGAGCCATCAGAGGGGGACCACCACCCCAGGGGTGTAAGGTTCCAGACTTGCTTGGCCCTGGGACCCCTTCCTTCTTCCCCACCGCTCCCTCTGGGCTGGGCCTGTCTGTCCTGTGCTGTCCAGGTTCCGCACCCAGGCTCGCAGCTGGAGAGGAGTTGGCCTCAGCGTGAATGCACCTGAGCCTCACCCAGACCTGATTTGGGTGAGGTGGAGGCAAGACTCCAGAGTGACGCTGGGATGAGGGAGACCTGGGGGCAGCTGGGATGGGCGGGTGTGTTTATGAGCAAGAAGGTCATGAGATTGTGGGGTCAGGGGCAGAGTGCTAAGGTCTGAATGTGTTCCCCTAAATTTCCAATGTCAAAACCTTGTCCCCAAGGTGATGGTATTAGGAGGCAGGGTCTCTGGGAGGTGCTGAGGTCCTGATGGGACTTGCCTCTATCAGGGGGTCCCCAAAGAGCCCCCTTTGCCCTCCACTGTGTGAGAACACACAGAGATGTCTGCAGCCTGGAAGGGGACCTGGCCCACCGTGTTGGCACCCTGATCTGGGACTTCCAGCCTCCAGAGCTGTGAGAGATGAACCTCGGATGTTCATGAGCCCTGCAGCCGTGGTATTTTACAGCAGCCAGGTGGTAGAACCGAGACATTGCAGGAGCCAGAGCTGGCTAGGGGTCCCGGGGGCTTCCCAGCACACACTCAGGAGGGCAGAGGTTACTGTGCCCCATACCTGGGGGGCCCTCACAGGGTGTCTGCTGTCCTACACAGGAGCTCGCCCGGCCTCCTCACCCCCACCTACCCCCACCCCAAAGACTCAGCAAGGGCTTTTACATGTGAGGGTGGCCATGGGCACGCTGGCCTGGACCTGAGCGCACACTCCCTCCACCTCTCTCTGAAGTGTGTGCTATAGCCCGAGCTCCTGGGGCAGGGCAGCCTCTGAAACCCTGGCAGAGAGCACTATCTACACTGCGAACAGCGGAGGCCAGTGAGGGGAAGGAGAAACCGAGGACAAACGGCCAGGTGGTCTTGTCAGGATTCAGAACGAGAGCCTGAGATGGCAGAGCCCCTCAATTCCCCAGGTCGTAGCACAGCACTGGGTAGAGATGGCCCTGGATACTGTGGGAGCCCTCGCCCTGGGCTCCCTGCCTTAGCAGGGGCTACAGCCAGACCCATGAACCTGTGCTCGACACCGGACCCCCAGCTCGCGCCCAGAGCCCGCTCCAGCACCCCGCCAGAGCCCAGGTCCCCGCACCCCGTGGCAAAGGAGCTCCAGCCTGCGGTTTGCTTGTGTTCACAGCTGGGACTGCACCCCTGGACCCCCGTGTACCCGCCCCCGCGCCCCTGGGCACCCTCCCCCACCCCGCCTGCGCCTCCGATCCCGCGCCCCCCCTCCCTGCCCGCACCCCCGCCCCAGCGCCGGGTCTGCTACCTCGTCGCCGGCCCTGGTGATGTCCATCCGGCCCGGCGCGCGCACCTGCTCGGAGAGGGCAGCGTCCCCGCGTCACTCGCCCCGCACTGTCCGTGTCGCCCGCGGCGCGCTCTGCGTCACCGGCCGGGAGAGCGCAGCCTGCCGCGCCCCAGGTCCCGCGTCCCGGTCCGGCCTCCCCAGAGACCCCAAGCGGGGCACCGTCCTGGGTGTTCGCGTCCCGAGGGGCTAGTGGCAAGTTTCTCCTTTAAAGGCGCGATGGCAGCTACTCTCCTCGGCCCAGAGCGGCTTGGGGTCGGGGGGCGGGGTTGAGGCTGGGAGGCTGAGGCAGGAGCGGGCGGGGACCCAAGTGAGCCCGGCCTGGGTGAGCCACTTCCCCAACGGCCTCAGGACGCCTGGAGACTCCGGCAGCTGCCTCACCCCAGCCCTCTGGCGGGACCCCAAGCCAGGACATTCCCAGTAAGGCAGGACCCAAGGGGACAGGGAGCCAGAAAGAGCCAACCACACAGCACCCAGGTGTAGGGCAGGTGCTGGCCACTGGCCACAAAAGCCTGAACTTGGCGCTGCTTACACGGCCGCATCTGTCCTGCTGCTGGAGGACCCGTAGGGTCCGAATCCCGACTCTGGACCAGAGCTGATGGCAGCTTTCCCTAAAGGTCCAAACCCCCAGCCACAATTCTGTCCCCCACACAAAGTAATCTGCCACCTCCTCCCCAAATGCTAGCCTTCAATGCCCCACAGCACCCTCTCCCTCTATCTGGGCCCCAAGGGGCATCCAGGGAAGTGCAGAGGGTCCTGTACTCCCCAGTCCGGGACCTTAGGGGCTGCTGGCTGACTCCAGGCTCAGCAGCCACCCCCTCACCCCCACCCCCTCCTGGTGCGCTGACCCTGCCAAGGAAGTCTAGGCTCCTGCCTTCACTGCCCTGCCTCTCAGCTAGGGAGTCAGCCTTTAGGACTGAGGGTCCAAGGGACCCCATCTGCTATCCCAGCCTCCAGAGGTCTGTGTGCAGCTGGGGGAAGGTGCCCGAACCCATCAGTGCCTTTGTGCAGGCAGCACTTTCTCGGCTCTTCAAGATGCGTTGATAGGTACAAAGGTGCTAGAGCCTGGCCTCCAAAGCAGTTAGCTCCCTGGGTGCGGCTGTGGGTTCACTGCTGGACAGGAACACAGCCAGCCCCCCGCCACTGCTGAATTCTCAGAGCCCAACTAGGAAGCCCTCCCTGGGGGCCTGCTGCGAGAGTTGGCTTGTTACAACGGCCACACCCCAGAAAGGGGTCTCAGACCCTCACTATCCAACGAGAGAAGCAGAAGCCTCCCCAGTGTCAGCAGCTGCTAAGCATCCAGGCTCTCATCCTTCCCTGGGGGGCCCTTCCCGCCCCAGAGCCATGTCATTGACTTAAAGCAGTTAATGTTTCATGGGAATCAGCAGTTGCAGCATTGCCCGATGGACAGGCAAGACAGGCTGGCTTTCATTTGCAAGCATCCCGTGGTAACGTCAGTTAAGATAAAATAGTTCAGGAAAGAGGCTCCAACAAACCATCTGTGCCCATGTTGTCCCCTGTGCGGCTCCTTCCCGTCTAGAGAAAACCACATGTTTCACAAGAAGACCATGTTCCGTCTGCCAGAACACCATTGCAAGAGCAATTATGAAATGTCCTTCCCATAAAAATAGAAAGGCATTGGACAGTAAAGCAGGGACACAGCAAGTGCTGATCTTGACTGAGAGCTGTTTCAAGTTCAGGTAACGGAAATGCAAAGCAAAGAACTTTCCATGGTGTAGACAACACGTCCAAGATACAAGCCCTGCCCTGGCCACGGGAAGGAAGCTGCAATCCATGAAAGCAATCTGACTGCTTGGCACCAGCGCACTCTCGCCATGAATATTACACAGGATTATATACACAATAATACACGGCGGCCAGCCCCTGGGAGCAGAGCAGAGCAGGCGGGGAGGGGCCGAGGCTACACAGGGGCTGCAGCCTTTTTCTATACAAGGACAGATGGTAAATACGTCAAGCTTGTGCGTCCTGGTTTCCATTTTAATTACTCAGCTCTGCCATTGCAGAAGGAAGGCAGCCATTGGTAAAGCACAAACAGATGGGTGTAGCTGTTGCCAATAAAGCTTTATTTACAGAAACAGGCCATGGCTGGGTCTGGCCTGGGGGCTGTAGTTCGTTGACCTCTGGTCTACAGAGAGCGCCAAGGGAAGCAGGTTCGTGCAGGGGGGACACCACTGAGGACCGCTCTTCTGCAGTCAGCAGATATCTGCAAACTAGAAACAGCAAAAGGACTGCCCAGGAAATTGAGAAGTGAAACGGGAACCATGGCTGCACTGGAGAGTAAGCAAGGACTTCAGCTAAATGCAGCTGCTATAGATGCGCCTTTGCTGCGTGCCTGCCCACAAGTCTCCACAGTGACAGTGATGGGATGGAACTGGACAGGACCCCGAGGCCTGAGCAATCTCTCAGGACACTTAATAAATTAATAATGAAATGAGATAGTGCAGCTCTTCTCTTCTGCAAGTGAGTTCTGTGGTTTGAGGAGACCTGAAGCAGGTCTGCAGTGCATCCTTCCTGACCCTCAGCGCCAGCCGGGCTCACCAGTCAGCAGAGGGCAAGGAGGCTTACTTACTTGGTGTCCTCACCCTCCTTGCCACGCCTCATGCTGGGCTCCCTACATGCACTAGCAGGGCTCCTGACCCACTGTGGCAGGAAACCTCATCCCTGATCCTTGATGAGCTGGCTGTGGCTCAGAAACCAGGAAACATGTCTCAGGACCCCCAGGGACCTTCCAGAGCTGGCATGTGAAGATACTGCAGGCCCTGAGTTCATCGTGGAGGGCCAGCCCCAGGCACTTCCTGAAGATTTGCCATGGCCAGAACCTGTTTGGTGACAGGGGGCTGCAGGAGGACGGGAAGCCCAGATGCACAGTCCGGGGGGCATGCACTGCCTTCAGGTTGTGGTAAAGATTGTAAGGACCAACGGATTGGGAGCTGAAGAGTAACAGAGGTCAGTGTCAGGCAGGGTGCAAAGGGCTTGCTCAGGGGGTCTGAACAAGTGACCGAATGAGCCAGAGGAATCTGATGTCTGGGCCCAGGGAAGAGCAGGTGCTAAGACCTTGAGGTGAACTCAAGCCCTCATGTTGAGGAGCAACAGGAAAGCCAGCAAGGCCGGCAGAGTGCACCAGGGGGTGTGTGGCAGGAGATGGAGGGAGGAGGCACCAGGCCAGCAGGGCCTCCAGGCTGTGAGCCGGTCCCCTGGGCTGACGCAGTGTTACCTGGGCCCCTGGGCTGCTGGATCAAACCACTGTGAGCCCTCAAACCTCTCTCTTCTCCCTCCCTCCCTCCCTCTGTCCCCCTCCTGTCTTGGGTATGACCACCTGCTCTTTCCCACCTTCCAAAGGGTATGCAAATTTCTCTTGGGGTCAAGCTCTGCCTGGAGCTCCAGTCAAAGGGTCTTCTGGAAATGCACCGTAACACAACCCACACAGGCATTTGTACTAACCTCGCCAAGAACTCCCTTTACAAATGTCACCTGAACCACCAGGACCTTCAGCTAATGCACTCCCAACCACCTCTTGAACAGCCACCTAGAGGGGACAGGGGCTACAGAAGCCGCAGAGACATAAGCACACCCGTCTCCTCCTTCCCTCCATGTGGGTCCCTGACAGGAACTGTTCCTCAACTCCAGCCAAGAGGAGAAGCAGGTGTTTCCTGCCAGACGCTTACTCAGGCCACCTGGACTCAGGGACGGGTGGCTCTGCTCCCTTGTGATCCCTCAGTGCAGGGAAATCCACACGCCCTAACTGTCAGGTCCTTGACCTACTCCAGGCATACCTGCAGGTGCTCCACACTGCTCTACACCCCATCACTATACAAAACCATCCAGGTGCAGCCCTCTTGCAGAGAGCTGGGCCTGTCCCACAGCTCTCCCTGGCATGGCTTACATTGTACCAGGACTGGTGCCTTCACCTGGATCACACCAGTCCAGATAAAAGGGGGTTGGGGGGAATGACCTCAGCCAGGTAGGATCAAGCCCAAGATGAGCAGGGCCAACATCCCCAAAGCCCTGTTCCCATGAGCCTCTGGCCCACTGGCATCTGCCACAGTGTACATCACCCTGTCACGTGCCTGCTCAGTTGCCCCCAGAACCCACTCCTGCAGATGCTTGCTCTCATCTGCCAGCAGGATGGTTATCCACACTGTCTCTCTGGATGCTTCTGCACCAACTCTTGGCCCAGCCTGCTCTCCACAGCTCCTGGTAGCCCCTGCTTTGTCCCTGACAGACACCTGATGTGGATCCCCAGTTGGGACAGCCAGAGGCCTGCTACAAGCTCATACAACCTGGGCCTCCTGGCAGTTTCCAGCTACTCTGTGGAGCTGAGCTCCAGGGTCTGGCTTCTCTTAGGTCAAGCCCTCATTGTCAGATTGTTCTCTGCTCGCTTGCAGGCTGAAAACTGCTCTGAGACACTCTATCCTCTCAAATCTTACACTGAGCCACCCCGACTGAGCCCAGCACCCTTCCTCATTCCCCAGCCTCTGGCGATCTTAGTCCTAGAACTTTCCTCGATGCTTTGGGCCCACAGCACCACGGCAGACCACCAGCAAAACCTTGGCTTTCTGTGACTGCAGACTTCCAACACAAGAGCCACTTTCTCCTGCCCTGAGTCCTGGGGCAGGTGCCCAGGAGGCTGCTACTAAAACCAGTATCCACTTAAGAGCTCTGACTGGCACTGTTTGCAAGGTTGCCTTCCTCCCATAAAGAAGACCAAAGTTCTCTGTGGCCCAGGGAGGCTCATCCACCATTTGGGTGGGCGGCACCTCACCCAAGCATCAGTGAGAGGGCTTGGGAAAAGAACCTGCCTGATAATCTTTTCATAGCACCCCACAGCCCAGCAAGGACAGCACATGGGACAAAATACAGAAAGCAACAATTCTTAAACTACTGTGGGAATGTTTTTCTCTTTTTAGAATTCCCTATATTGTCTTTGTAAGAAAAATGGTGGGTTTGGGTGGGATGGGAAATCCCATAGTAAAATTCTGCTTTCTCCCATTGAATCATGGCCCCTTGTCCTGCCACGGCTCCCTCGTACAGGCAGGTCTCCCACCAGGACCTGGGCTTCCAGATGCTGTGATGTACTGGGAAAACAATCTTTGACCTCTGTTCAAGAAAAAATTGTTGTGACACTTGTTAAAACGGTGAGGAAGACTTTATTGAAGACTGCTGCAATTGAGGAGAGAGATTGGTTCAACTGCAAAGAAAAAGACAAATGAAGATTTATAGCCAAGGCAGGGGGTGGGGGGCTATGTATGGAAAACCACCAAGATGTTAAAAGTAGGGGTCTTGCTAAAGGCTGAGATGACCAGGTATCACTTGGGGATGAGGAACTTAATCAGAAATAATGATACTGTTAACAAATCTATCTGTAAAAAAGGAATTTAATCACGAAGAACTTTATTGCTTTAAGTAAAGTTTGCAAGTCAGGTAGACACAGCCCTGGTTATGAACCGTAAGTACACTCCAAGGAAACAAAGAGCGGGGCTATTTTTATAGGAGATTCTGCCCAGGTTCCCATACAGGTCCATTATGCAAATTAGCAGTGTAAGTCTGTTTAGTGCTGACAGCTTATTGGCTGACTTCCTCCATCTGTTTTGGGTTGGTTCTGCTTCAAGGAGCCATGTCAGCGCGTGCCTTTTCTGGGGACAGAACACCCTACGGCCTCTCATCTATACCAGGCTGTCTGACTCCATTTTGTTTTGGGCCTGTTTGCCCGATGAATCCATCCCACTTTCTGGCATAGCTGGATTTGGGGAGTCGTCACTCACTCGGTTTTGTCCTATTTTCACAAGGATTATCAGATATCAAGGACGGGGGATGGCTTAGCAGGATCTTTGCAGAGACTGGGCCGGCAGGCTAAAGGCAGGTCCGGGACCCGGTGGAGAAGTCCCAGAGGCCGGCAGAATGTTGGTCTTCGCATCTCTGAGCTCCCTGATGCCTGTCTTAATGTGATCTGCACCCCAAGTAACCTTTAATTTCTAAAAGGCCTAACACGGTGAGACCGTTTCTTTAAATGCTAAAAGCGAAGGAAGGAATCAACACAGCCCTAGGACTGTCAGATTTATTTCCAGTTTAAATCGCTGTATTCAGGGCAATTAACAGACCATCACCTCTATGTTCCAGGTTTGCGGCCGGGGTTCAAGGGTCAGGGCTGGGGCTCCGGCTCAGGCTGTGGGTGGGCCTTGGGGCGAGGGAGCTCAGGGCTCCAAGGCTCCAGGGCTCCAGGTTCGGTGGATCAGAGACACGCGTTCCAGGCCTGCGGGTACGCTCCAGCCGGGTCGGGGCCGAACCGCATTAGAGGGGGGCGGGGGAGGGACCGGGTGGGCGGGGTGAGGCGGGGGGGGGGGCCTCACAACGCCGCGCATGCGCAGGACAGGCCGCGAAGGCCGCGGGGTGGGCGAGGCGGGCGGGGGACAGAGCCCTCGCTCTAAGCGGAAGCCCTGCGCCTCCGCAGCGCCTGCCGCCCCGCCCCGTCAGCGGGAGGCCAATGAGCTCGCAGGGCCCGCCCCTGACGACGCGGGCCCCGCCCCCTGGAGACGCGCCGCCAGGAGCCCAAATCCGCCTGGCTACCTGGCGACTCGCGGCCGCCTTCCGGCAGGCCCGCCGCCATGAAGTTGACGCGGAAGATGGTCCTGTCTCGGGCCAAGGCCTCGGAGCTGCACAGCGTGCGGAAGCTCAACTGCTGGTGAGGGCCTGGAGACCAGAAGCCGTGTCCGCGCGTCCTCCCCGCTGTCCAGCACCCCGCCCTGGGGCGCGGACCCCTCCCTGGGCCGGGGACCCCTCCTTCCCAGCACCCCCGCTCCAGGCTGGGGACCCCTGCCCAGCACCTCCGCCCTGGGACAGGCCAGCAAATGAGCAGAAACCGCCGCCGAGCACCTCTGCCCTAGGCTGGCGGCAGGAAGGACCTGCAGAGAATCCAGAGGGGGTTCGGGGTGGAGGGGGGCACCTCTGGGCAGAGTCTTCCTGGCCCCTGGTGCAGGCCTGCCTCCTGGGTCCCTGGGCTCACAGCCTCTGGGAGGTGCTGCTATAAGCTCGGTGGCCATTGGCAAAGGCCATTCCAAAATGCTCACCCATGAGTGGTGGTGTTCTGGACATGCTCTCCTTGCTTGAAATAGTAGGCGTTCCAAGATACAGCTGGGCTTCCACATAGCTTTCTTGGGGGCCGATGGTTCCCTCTGTGGATGGGTCTGATTTCTAACATTGCCAGTCGCAGAGAGCAGAGTCTACTGATAAGGTGGGAGATGATCAAGTGATTAACACCATTTCCAGGGGGTAAGAAAGACAGCTGAGACTCTGAAGTAATGAATCTGTAAACATTTTTATAATTGATTCCTGTCTCTGGGAGGTAACAGATGGGATGTAGGTACTGTGGGTCAGTGCATGCTCAGAGGAGGGGGCCAGATCCAGCTGGGTCAAGGAAGGACCAGAGGGCTTCATGGACTCCAGAAAGGTCTCCAGGTGTTTTCTGGGGACTCAGAGCAAAACTTCACACGTCCCTGTAAACTGGACAGTGCAAGTGGGGAGTGCGGGGCCCAGCCAAGAGCATGCCCTCTTGTGCTGGGGGCAGATTGACTGTTGTGAGCACTGCCTGTCCATTAAAAAGCCTCTCTTTGCCTGGCACATCTGGCATTTTGGCCACAGCATCTGCTGTCATTTGTTTACAGTGAAGCACTTCTTTGTTTTCTGGAGGGTTTTTGGTGGGGGGAGGGGGATAGTCTCATGAGCAGGGGAGACAACAGCTCTATTTCAGGCTTTCTAAAGTTTGTTTCATAAAGTGCATGTTCAGCCTTTGAACTTGGCCTCTCATAAAGACTCCCTTGTTTGTTCACATCGGTGGAGGGGAGAGGGGGGCTGGAAGGTGTCCTGCTCTGCTGCAGCCTCAAGAATGAGCAGTTCTCTGCACCCCCGGTGAGGGCCTCTGCTGCGCCTCAGGACGACAAACACTGTGCAGACACCAAACACACATAGGTTCGTGGGGAATTCAACCATGAAATAATTTTGACACCTTTGTTTGTTACCTGGGCAAGCCTTCTTTTACTTTGTCACTGAATCTTAAAGTTTGTAGGCGTTGTTAAAGTTTAGAATATTTGTTCTTTATCCTTTTTCATTCCAGTTTAACAAAACTGAAGTATGTGTGTCTTCTCTCCCCAGGGGCAGCCGCCTCACAGATGTAAGTATCACACTGAGCACTTCCAAATGCTCCCTGGGCCCCAGAGTCGTAGCCTCTGCCCCAAGAAAATCATTAAATGGACAAAACCACATGCACTCAGTTCAGCCCTAATCAGAGCTTTGTTCACTTAGCAGTATTGTAACGTAGACCCAGTAATGACAGCACAGCACGGTAGTGTGGATGAGAGGCTCCTGTGCCCCCTGCAGGCCGTCTAGGGAGGGGGCGGAGCCGAAGTGCAGACCTGCCCCAAGCCGGGAGACTCCCAGGGAGCTTGGTCACTTCAGGGAGAAGTGCCCTCTGCCTGGAGTCTTTTTTTGTATGTTCCTGGACTTCCTGTCACTGAGGAGGTTGCTCTCTGACTCATCTTGGTCACATCAAGCATTATCCACGCTGTGGATGGTTCAAATTACGCTTAGGGTTATGGCAGGAAGAGATGGACGGGCCAGGGGCAGGGCACAGGGCTGCGGGTCTGTGTGCAGGTCTCTCACCCGTTCTGGAAGCCCCCAACTTGCACAGGGACGCTCAGCCATTTTTTTCTCGCCTGCTTGTGTTTGGTGACCTGAGTTGTGCTTTACCTGAGGAGCAGAGTCATTAAGTGCCACTGAGCCGCCAGGCTGGCCAGAGAGCCCTTTCCACTTCACACTATAGCCAAAGTGCTGTGTATTCGGCAGCCGAGACAGCCCCCAAAACCAAAAACACCACTCCAGAACATAGATCTCCTGCACGTGAACATTCCGCCCAGGCCTATGAACCTGGGGCGCCATGCCCAGCATGTGGTGGGCACACGGTCCTGGGGACTGTGTCACTCACCAACCCTACCAGTCAGGGAGACTTTATGGCCCAGCCTGAGCACCTCGCTGCTCTTTCCCACTGGATGGATAGTATTGATAGGGTCTGAGACCCACTTTCAGTCCGGTCTCCCTTTGGCCCAGCTCTATTGGCAAGAAGCTTCTGTTCTTTCCTTGTGCCTCAGGGATGGCAGGAAGAAAGATCTTCTGTCCAGCACAGGGGCATTGAGGACCCCTTTCCTGATGCCCTTGGAAGGCTTCTAAAATTAGGAGTGCTCCTTCTCAACAGCTGGCAGCGTTTGATGGCAGTGCCGTTTTAAAGCTTTAGAGAGCGCACATTCTCCTTCGGGTTGGGGGAGTGTCCAGGCTGCGCAACGGCCCTAATGCAGAGCCCGGCATGCGCTCGTGTGTTTTGTATGAGCCCCGGAGAAGCGAGGGAGGCTGCCCCACTTAGGGCCTGGAAGTGGAGCGATGGCAGCTCCAGGTAGCTTCTCTGTAGGGCTGGTGGAAGGGACGTGGAGATGTTTGCAGTCACATTCTTTTCCTTCCTAGATCTCCATCTGCCGTGAAATGCCCAGCCTGGAAGTGATCACACTCAGGTACCTAAATGCCTGCTGTCACTCTAAGTCCAGGGCTTGAAAGAGGAGGGAACCTTCAGCTCTCATGCAGGACTCGTGGCGTGAGACAACCTGCAAACTCCCAACAGAGTCTGGAGGGGCCGCTCCTAGGCCCTTGTCCCCCATCACCCAGCCCGCGGGTGCAGCCTCCTGGAGATGAGCAGCCCCCACAGTCGTGGCTCAGCTTCCCTTTCTGTGATGCAGAGATAACACCAGCACTGACCCACGGGGCTGTGGGCTATGAGGCCACAAGGAGTGGGCACAGTCAGGAGCGCGGAGCTGTCAATGTGCACAGGCCAGCTACATGAGTTGTTTCTTTGTTAGGATCCACAGTGACACTGGGGTTTGCGCCCAGGCCCCAAGAGGCCCCACCTGATAAATAAGGCCCCAGAGTAGCAGGAAGCAGAGTGGAGTAGGGCTGCAGCGCCGTCTGTGCTGCACAGGGTGTGTCTAAGTGGTTGGGGCGCATTGTAGGGCCTCTCTGGGCTGCAGGCCCCTTGATTGCCGCAGATTCTCGGTGTCACTGCTCAGAGGAAGGCAGGATGCCCAGGCTCCTGACGGAGCACAAGCGCCTGGTACCTGGGTCTCTGGCTGCATCAGACCCAGGGGCCCACGCCGTGGGGAACTGCTGCTTGCCTGGAGGGCAGGCCCTTCTGTGAGGGGAAGTCATTTCCCTGGGGCGTGGGCAGGCTGCCTCAGTCTCAGGCTGCCATACAGAACAGCTCAGAGGGGGCTCAGGAACGACAGACATTCCCTCCTCGCGGCCCTGGGGGCCCGGGTCCGAGAGCCAGGTGCCCGTGGCTCCGGTGTCTGTGAGGGCTGCTTCCTGGTTCCCTCTTCCCATGACCACCTTCTTCCTGTGTCCTCATGTGGGGGCGGGGGAGGGGCGCTTTCACAAGGGCCCCGACCACCCTGAGGCTCCTGCCTCATGACCCGTCCCCTCCCAGAGGCCCCGCCTCCTGACACCCTCAAGCGGCTTCCTTTGTCAAACGGTATCAGCCTCATTCAGGCTCTGCAGTGAAGTGACCCATGTGCAGACACAGCCCTCCACGGTGGCAATCCCATTAATTAGGAGTGCTCAAAATCGCAGTGGCATCCCAAAGGGAAGAATGACACCCGTGCCAAGCATAGTGCAGCCCCGGGCAGAATGTCCAACATCTCTGTGGGGAAGGGTCCCACGGAGTGACCCAGCTCTTGCCCTCCAGCCCGGCAGGGAGCAGCAGACCCCACAGCTGTGTAGGAGTGTGCGCGGCCTGCAGGACACCCCTGTAGGGCACAGCAGGCCTGGGCTCAGCCCGCGCACGGATGCCAGCCACCTGCCCTTGAGCTGAGCATGCATGGATGGCTGGGCCTGCTGGTTGGGGAGGTGGGATGGCCCTGCTCCTGTCGGTGTGGACCTGACGGGCCTCTGCCTAGACACCTCGAAGATTTTCTGTCTCTCTGATGTGTTCAAACCCACACACTTTCCTTATCAAATGGGTTTCAGAAGTTCAGTGCTCAGTTCCGCCTAATGTGGGACTTGCTTATATCTGCTTTGGGGGTGGCGGTGTGTACCTGGGGAGGCCTCGGTCTCCCCCCCTGTGGAGGAGAGTGAGACACCCCGCCTCTGGCACTGTCTCTGTACGGGAAGCCTAAAGAGCAGGAAGCTGGGAGCCACTCGCCTGGTTCAGGGATTTCCCACCCTGACGCTTTCTCCACAGCCTGGGGACTTCATTAACCTTGACTCATGTCCACTTGTGACTTGTTTTTGAGAAGAGGACTGTTGGGCACAGACTGCCACCATGCTTTTTTCTGGTGTTTACGATTGAAGCAGCCGTGTGGAGGGCGCCTGGCAGACATGATGGGTGTGTGGGGTCGCCGTCCCGGAGTCAGGGGCTAGCCGCGCTGTCTCTCCGCAGCGTCAACAGCATCTCCAGCCTGGAGCCCATGAGCCAGTGCCGGCAGCTGAGAGAGCTGTACGTGCGGAGGAACCGCATTCCCAGCCTGGCGGAGCTCTTCTACCTAAAGGGCCTGCCGCGCCTGCGGGTGCTGTGGCTGGCCGAGAATCCCTGCTGCGGTGCCGATCCCCGCCACTACCGCATGACCGTGCTGCGCAGCCTGCCCCACCTGCAGAAGCTGGACAACCAGTGTAGGTGTCCGCACACCAAGCCGGCCCTCGCAGCGCATCCCCTCCCGCCCTGACCGCTTCCGCACATTCCTCCTCTCCTGAGACATGGCCAGTGGCTTCCCTGGTCTCGGGAGCGTGCCAGTCTGTGCTTCTGTCAGGGGTGACCATGTGACATTACCTGGCATAGCCCCGTGCAGCACAAGGTCTCTGGGGAACCTCACCCTGCTGCTCCCCCTCCCTTGTCCAGTCTCACCAAGCTTGTCCTCGGGTTCTCCTGCTGAGGGCACTCTGCTGCAAACACCCACCCTCCCAGCCCACAAGCACCTGAGCAGTACGGGTGGGCTGCGCCCACTGTGCCCTCCTGCTGCGGTTCACCCACCTCCCTGCGTCTCCCCCTGCACCCCCTCATCACCCACAGGCAAGTGCCTCTCCTGCACTGTGGGCTGGCTGGGACCCTGCCGGGCTCTGCCGTGCATCTTGCGACCCCTGGCACTCTCTGTGCCCAGTCCTAATCCTTGTAAACTTTAGGGAAACTCAGTTGTATTTAAGTGAAGTGGAATTAATACAGTGTGTTCTGTTCCTTTTTAAAATTTGTCTTGGTTTGGGTATTTTTATGAGTATTTGTAACTGAAATTCAGATTCAGAAGCAGTCATTTACCATCTGCTGTGCACCGAACGCATGCTGGGGTGGGGGTTGTGACAGTGGCCCTGCCCAGCCCTGCTCTCCAGGAGCTGGCTCTGGGGTAGACGGACAGAACCTCGTTTCTAAAGCACACAGTGCCATAGGGATGACAGGTGGGCTTGCCTGTGGTGGGGCCCCTCTGATCTTTTGCTCCCCTTCACCCCAAAGCTGTGACTGAGGAGGAGCTGTCCCAAGCATTGATGGAGGGAGAGGAGGTCACAGCCCCCAGCAGAGAGGGCACGGGGAACGGCCAGCCCGAGCTCTCCTACGCCTTGCATGCTGTGAACGGCACTGCCGAGACCCAGCAGGACCTGCTGCAGCCCAGCGAGGAGGAGGCCAGGTACGGTGCCAGGGCCCGGGGGCCTGCCCATGCCCTGTATCTCTGGGTGTGAGGGAGGGACTGTGAGTGGTTCTGTCCTGTCCGTGGCTTTCAGTTGCCCCAGCCTGGTTCCCCAGCCCCAGATGTGACTCTGCAGGGAACTAGCACAGGCGCTGGGAGGAAAGCGGGGTGCGGGCCTGGCTGCCTAGGGAGCCCTGGGGGAGGGAGGGGCATGACAAGGCAGCCCTCGACAGGGCGCCGGTGTGCGTGGGTGGCCTCTGGGAAGCAGCACATTGTCACAAACGGTTTTGAGCAGAAACTGAACGTGGGGAATGCCGTAGAGACTGGTTCACAGAGAGGCCGGGGGGCTGCGTCCACTGAGCAGACAGAACCACCTTCTCGTTTTCCGCAGCCCAAGCCATCTGGAGGGCACCTGGGGGTGTTGGGATGGGCAGTTACAGTCCACTGCGGGGCATCGGGGAGCGTGCTCGGTGCCACGCAGCACAGGAAGGAGCCTGGGGGTAGGGAGGTTCCCCCCAGGGGATCAGAGAAATGTGTGTGACCCCAATTCCATCCCTCCAGAAGCTGTGTCCCTAAGTGGGAGTTCCCCGCATCCCGGGGTGAAGCCTTGTAACCGCCCCGTCCTGCTCCGGAGCTGGGACTAGACCCTGCGACGTCCTCTGGGCCAGGCAGGCCCCAGCCCTCACGCACTGTGCCCTTTCCCCCTACCAGCAGTGTCCAGGGGCAGCTCTGCCTGAAGCCCCCTTCCCAGGACCGGCTTCCTCCCTTCTCCCATAGGGAGGCTGCAGCCAGTTGCAAGAGCAGGGTGAGTGTGGCGTGGTCAGGCCTGCATGGAGCCAGCCTGGGGCTCTCTGCCCAGAACGTGGAAATCGCAGTAGGGTGGAGACACCCTAGGCCGCCAAGGGTGGGAGGCAGCTGTCTGAGGTCAGCTCCCAGCCAAGGTGGAAGTGGCTAAGGAGAGGGGGGCACTCCTGCACCAGTGGGTGGGCTTCAGCACAGAGCTAGCCCACCCTGGGAACAGCCTACAGGCAGCTCAGTTCCCTCCGCAGCCTGTACCCCGCATCCATCCCGGGCCTGCGGCAGCACTTGTGTGCAGAGGGCCCCACGTGCAGAGATGTGGGAGACTCCTCACCCTGGCTGGGGTCGGCTCAGTGTCCCTGTGGCTCTAGTGGAGTGGCTGTAAGAAATGGAACAAGAGGTAGGTCATGCAGGCAGCTCAAGCTGTGGAAGACCTAGGCCTTTCTGGGCTTCCATCTCCACCAGCATCATTCTGGCTTGTGCTGGGGCTTGTTCCCCGCTGGTTTGGGCTCACACCCACGAGAAGGGTGGCACCGTTTCTTCCTGTGTGACCTTATCAGCAAAGAGCAGCCCCCTGGGCTTCCACCCCAGCAGGACCGTTTCACCAGCTGGCATTTTTCAGGTGCCTGAGCCCGTCATTGACCAGGAGAATGGGGTCACCACAGTTAGCTTGTCCCTGGGGGGAAACTTAATGCCTGGTCATGTGGGAAAGGGTGGGCTGCCTGAGCAGACCCGGGGTCAGTGAGAGAGGCCCATGAGCCACAGCACCTGCTCCCAGAGTGCCCAGCTGGCCTCAGCCCTGCGGGGCCTGCCCCAAGCCTTTGGGTATGAGGCTGTGCCTAGGAGGGCACCATGGCCAGCGAGGGGGTCGCCCAAGACCATGGGCTCCGTGCCTGTGCTCAGCAGCCACTGGGGTGCGTACAGAGCTTGTGGGAGGTAGAGGCGAGCAGCCAAGGCCCGGTCCTGGGAGGGTGCCAGCCCACCTTCTGGGAGCAGGAAGGGCGTCCTCCAGAGCTGCAGACAGAAGTGGCTGGCACCCCACCATTCTCAGCACCTACTGGGAGCAAGGGCCAGGCAGTGGGCACCTGACCTGTTGGTGGCCGTCTGGGAGGCCGGCCCCTCTCGAGGCTGCAGCCCCGTGGGTCCAGGCCTAGCCTTGCTGGACGTGGTGCTCAGCCAGCGACTCTGCCCACAGAACAACGTCCTGGCCGCCATGCTGCTGCTGCTGCGGGAGCTGGATGTCCAGGGGCTGGAGACTGTCCACCAGACCGTAGCCAGCCGGCTCCAGGCCCTGCACAAGCAGGAGCTGCAGGAGGACACGGACTGACTGTCCGCAGGAGCCCGGGCTGCAGGCTTGCCTGGGGACCCTGCCTGAAATCTCACCAGATGGGGCATCATGCCCACAGCTGTGCCTCTGCTGACCCTGGGCTGGGACTCAGCCACAGGCTGCGCCCTTAGGAAGCCTCAGGCCCACCTGGCAAAGCCGCGGCTCACTGCGGACCTGCACCCCGGTGAGGGTGGGAGGGACGCCGGGCTCTGGGCACCAGCTGGGCAGGCCCTGCTCCCCTGGGCGCCTGGCCACCACCCTCCTGAGCGGGAAGGCCCACCTCGACCTGGCTTGGCCTGAAGTTGGGCTTTGCAGCCATTCTTCCTAATAAACATTCTCCCGAAGTCCAATCTAGCAGTAGATGTTTCAGACCTGGCAGGCGTGGCCTTGGCCTTCTTCCTAAAGGTAGTGCCATTGCTCACAGCATGCCCATGTCAGCTGCAACTGGGACACAGGGTAGACTTCTGTCGCTCACGCAGGCTTCCGGAATGATGGCATCAGAGACGAGCTGCCTGAGGTTTGCATCAGTGGCCCCACCCCAGTCACCCGCCACCATAAGGACACCTGCGGCAGCAGGGGTGGGAGGAAGGCACTTGCCTTTGCTCCCCGTCTAAAGAGCCCTGCAGCGAGGGGAGGCCTTGCCCCTTCCGCCTGGGGCCACGTGTGGCAGCTGGGTGGGAGGGGCAGCCTTCTGGAAACTGCTTGTCCTGGGAATTGCCACCTGCCCCAGGATGTCGTGTCCCTAGGAAGAGTCCCAAGCCCTGCCTAGAGGCACAGGGTCTGGGCGGTGGTGCTGCAGAGGCCACGGCTACCTCCTCACAGAAGGGGCGGAAAGCCCACCCACAGGTGCCAGCTGGCTGGGCCTGAGAGGGTGGGAGCATTCCCCGCAGCCTCCTCTCGGGCTGGGACCCAGACATCTGTGAGGTCCATGTCCCTGTGCTGTTGTAAACAGGGTCACCCCCACTGCACTGCTGGGGGTCCTGGGGGCTCTGGTGCTTCTCTGCAGGGAAGCTCTGTAGTTCTCAGGGCAAGGCAGTGCCTGAGCAGCAGGAGGTAGGGAGTCACCTCGTGGGCCCCAGGAGGCATGGCTGCTGGCTCTGTGTGCCTTCTCTTTAAACAATAAAGCATCTTCATTAGAACAAGTTGGGGTCGGGTGTGTGAAATTAACAGACCCCCTTTCTGGCCCACCAGGCAGGGCACCTACCTTTGCCTGGTCCATCTCAGTCGGGGACCTTGAAGCTGGAGCCCAGGTGGGTGGGCTGCCCACTTAAGCCCCTGCACTCTTCCCAGCCGCCATCAGGCCGCACTCCTGGCCACCTGCTCCCTCCATGCCCGTCTGAAGCCTGTACTCGGACCCTGGCCTGGGACCCACAGCCTCCACCCTGAGCACCACCCCCCCGCATGATGCCCTCTGGGCTGCTGGAGCCAAGCAGGCATCATCCCATGTGTACATGCTGGTGCCCAGTTTAAGGAGAGGACCGAGACCCAGGAGGACGTGCCGTTCAGCCAGCAGTGTTTGCCAGTGCAGAGGTGGCCACAGCACCTGTCAACAGAGCCGCCGCCCAGCAGGTCCCCAGGCCACAGCTGAAATGCTGCTGGGCATCCAGCAGGGCGAGCCCGGGGGTTTCCACCCTGAGAGCTGAGTCCTGACCCGACGTGTCAGCGTGACCACAGGTGGGGGTGGCCAGAGCAGACACCCCATCTGCTGACTGCAGGCACACACGTACACACACAGTGCTCAGGTTTCTGGGACCCAGGAACTTGTCCCTGGCCTCTGGAGACAGACTTGGGCCCTTGGGGCCGGCTGCGTGGGGAGCTGCCCCTCCTCCCCCTGCCCCAGGACCGCCTATACTCATGGTGCGCAGAGCCGGCCAGAGAGGCCCCAGATCCACAGATGGGCACCCAGGAGCCCGCAGGCTCCAGGGCCAACACTGTGAGGCTAGCACAGGGCCCCCGGCACGGGGCTGCTGTCATCCTGGAGTGGCCAAGGCCCCCTGCTGAGGTCTGTGGGGACATGAAGGCAGCTGGGGGTACACAGCCTCCAGCCTGGTCCCTAGAGCCACCCAGCCAGAAGACCCTGTCCAGAGACCTCTGGTGTGGCCTGTGCGCCCCCAAGGCCAGACCACCCCACAAAATCTTGTGGGTCCTGGAACCTCCTCCTGAGCCTCTGAAGGTGCCGCTCAGTGAAGAGCACCCAAGACCAAGTGCCCCAGAAGCTGCAAGGGGAGCAGATGGGGACTAGGCCACGAGCTCAGGAGTGACGGGGTCCCTTCCAAGTGCAGACAGTGTGGCCAAGGCTCAGCTGGTCCCCAAGGGGCCCCGGTGCCAGTGCCCTGCTGCAGTCGGGTCTGGTGGATTGGCTGGGCTCCCCTTCCTGCCTACCCTGGCCAGTGTCCCCTGGAGGCTCCCAGAGACCCACAACCTGCCCCAGGATCCCTGGCTCTGCTTCTGAGACCCCAGCCCAGGCTGAGCTGGGGACCATTCTGGGTCAGACTCAGGGCCTGGCCTGGGGACCAGGCTCAGAAATCCTCTAAGTCTGAGGGAGGCCAGGCACAGGCCTGGTGAACTAGGGTCACCCTACTGGCAGGGAGGGGTGCTGGTCCTAGGTGGGGAATGTGGCCCCAGAGGGTGCATGTTCCTGAGACTCAGCCCGGCCCCAGGGCCAGAGGGCCCCAGACCCACACATGCCAACAGGGGGCTGCCTACCAGCAGCTGCCCCCCAAGAAGTTCCATGGGCCCTGCTTTTCAGAGACCGATGACACTCCGCAGTTTGAGTGATTTTACTTCTTGAGAAGGTGACATGGTCTGCTCAGCCTTGGGAGCCAGTGCACACACAGGAGCAGGGCCACAGGGACGGCCCAGGGGCACTGAACCTCCTTGGTCCTGGCCCCCCGAGGGAGCGGTGGGGAGGGCCACACAGGTGCTGAGGCAGGGGGGGGCAGTGTCCGAGCGCAGGCGCCCCCCATGCCCCGGGTGGAAGGTGGGTACCAGGGTGCCGTCCTGGAGGAGCCGGGCTGAGCAGGCCCCAGTGCTCGTCCCACCGGGAAGGGGGCCGGGCGGCCTCAGAAGCCCTTGTCAATGCTGAGCGTGCGGCGTGTGACGTGCTCCAGCTCCCCGGACACATAGTCGTCCATGCTGATGCGGTAGTGCGCCAGCATCTTCAGCATGAGCCGCAGCTTCAGCCACCACTGCTCCCGGGGCATGCGGTGCCTGCAGGCGGGCCGGGGCGGAGGTCGGGCAGCTCTGCGGGCAGCCCACCATTCTGGGGACACTGGCCTGGCCACCACACGTGGCTGATGCAGGTGGAGGCGTCCCAAGGGCCTGCACCAGCCACCCTGCCCACCCTGCCCTCTGCCCTGTTGGGAAGAGCAGCGGCCTGGGAGTAGCCCTGGGAGTTAGGGCTCCTGACGCCCAGGCAGCCCACCCCTCTTCTGGGGGCACTCACTCAAAGTCAGTGTCCTTCTTGAGCTCAGTGACAGGACTGAAGGCCACCGCCTTCTTCCGCAGACCAATCACACAGGCTGAGTCGGGGCCGTTGGCGAACACCCGCCCTGTGGACACAGGCTCGTGCTGGCGGCCTCAGCCCCAGGGCTGGGGCAGAGGGCAAGGCTGAGCCCGGGGCTGCCACCCTCCCTCCACGTACCGTTGCGGTAGACTGCCTGCAGCTTCTCCGACATCCAGAGCATGGCCTTCACCCCCAGCTTGGTCCCATAGTTGCGGTCAAAGGGGGTTGGAGCCCCGCCCTGCAAACACAGCAGGTGAGGCCGCGGTCCAGCTAGAGCAAGGGCCAGGCACCCTGACCCGGCTGTGACCTCAGATGAGCCCCCCAGGGCAGCTCCGATACCCCATCCCCTCTGGCCTTCCCCTATTTTTGGCCCGTTCCCGCTGCCTGCAGCCCCTCTAGTCCCTTTCTCTAGCCCAAATCCAGCCTAAAGGCCATCTCTGGAGGCCAGGCAGTGGGCTGCCTCATTAAGTGAGGTGGTCTCTGTGGGCCCCTGCAACTGGCAGGCAGGCCCCCCACCAGTGAGCAAGTTCACCCGGGGAGGCAGGACACAGGGCCCTCACGTTAGGCTGGGAAACCCTGTAGTGCATGCTTCCTGCAGGGTCCCAGGGAGCCCGGGAAGGGGAGGGAGTCTGGCAGGCTGGTGATGGCCTTCCCAGCAGAGACCTCAGCAGGACAGGAGGCTGGCCTCCCCATCTGTGCTACATAATGGTAAGCGCTCTGGTCAGGGGTGAGGAGAAAGCTACCGGGGGACCACCGCTGGGTGCCCCACGATCAGGCACACAGGGCAGGGCCCTCACCCCACCACACCCTCCTGGGACCCTTGGGCCCAGCTACCGATGCCCCCACCCTGTACCTGCTGTAGGTGGCCCAGGACGTTGGTCCTGCAGTCGAAAATGCCCTTCCCCTCAGAGGAGTACAGGTTATACAGGAAGTCTGTGGTGTAGTGCTCATGGCACTTCTCGTTCCTGGGAAGAGGGTGGGGAGCTGACCCCAGCACTGAGCCCCACAGTGGCCCAGCCACAGGCCCCTGGGGGAAGCCGACCCCACCGCCCCCTGCCAAGGCCCCTCCAGGCTCATTCTGCATGGCTGCCCCCTGGCAGCCCCAACACACAGCCTGCATTCTGGAGGCCCCCCGTGGCTCAGGCAGACCCCCTCCTCCAGCCCAGCCCAGTCTCCCCTACAGCCCCACCGAAGCACCAGGCCTCTCTGGATATCCGTCTTCATCTTCTCTGTCATGTGCTCCACATTGGCCTGCAGGAGTGAGGGGCAGGGTGAGTGGGACACGGAGGCTGCACCAGCGCTGCACCCACCCGCAGCCTGAGGGCTGTCTGGGGAGAAGTATTCCAGACTGACCACCAGTGTGACTGGGGTGGAGGGGGCATGTGGACCTCCAGCCAGTGGGAGGGCACTGGGACATGGGGCTGGACCCTGAGGACAAGTGGGGTGGGGTGGGGTGAGCCTAGAAGCCACAGAAGCCATAGTGTGGACACAGGGCAGAGGGCTGCATAGGGATGGAGAGGGGTACAGGGGGCACAGGCCAGATCTCCTCACAGGCAGTGAGCCCCCAGGCTGCTGGGTTGTGGCTCCAAACCAAAGTGGAGAAAACAGCTGCATTTGCCAAAGGTTCAGTATCCCCACATGTAAAGAGCACTTACAAATAAAGAAAACTCAGCCAGGCCCACCACCCTCTTGGCTGGTCTGCAGCTAGAAAAAGGTTGGAACTCAGCTCACCTTCAAATCTTGAATGTTGAAGGGGTCCTCAAAGACATAGGCTGCATCAGCCCCCACAGCAATGCCCGTCACGGTGGCCAGGTAGCCACAGTAACCTCCCATGGTCTCCACGATGAACACACGGCGCTTGGTCCCTGAGGCCGACTGCTTGATGCGGTCACAGCTCTGTGGAGCCCGGGGTGGTCAGGCCTTCCCCACTCACTGCAGGGCCACCACACTGCAAGGACCTGGGTCTCTCCAAAGTTGACAGGCCTATGCCCCTGAGCCCAGAGCACTGGCAGCTGTCACATACTCTCCACAGGTCACACCCGAGGGGTACACTAGCTTCTAGTGGGTGGAGCCCAGGGGCGGGGCTAAGAGAATCTTTCTGACATTTGGCCAGCAATACACCTGGCCTTAACTTTCTCCTCTGGCCACTGTAGGGCCATTGGAACAGGGAACAGGGATCAGATAACATGTAGAGCACCACGCCCTGCAGATGCTAATGATAATGTGACAGGTAACAACAACTGTAACTCCTGAGAAGGAAATTATAACATTAAATCAAGAACTGAGAAAAGAGAAATTAGTCAAGTAAGTTACTGGCGTCTGAACCATGAGGTTGAGCAGCTAATGGACAATAAGCAAAGGGGAAGAAACAGCTGCAAGGTTTGCCGAAGGGTCAGTATCCTACATATGTAAAGAGCACTTCCAAATAAAGAAAACCTACCAAGAGAAAAATGGGCAATGGAAAAAGACAATTTTCAAAAAAACCCACATAAACATATAGAAAAATGCTCAGCTTCACCAGAAACCAGAGCTGTAAACTAAAACAGAATACCGTCCTGTCCCATCATAGAAACAAAGAAAACAGGACCATGTTTGGTGCTGGTTGGAAGCAGGAAGCAGAAGGTTCAGAGAGGCCAT